GATGCAGCCGGTCAGAATGCTCTCTATAGTGCAACGGTAGAAATTTGACATGATGTTAGAGGAGATGCCAAACCTCTTCAGCCTCCGCAGGAAGTAGAGACGCTGACGGGCTGTTCTCACTATGGTCTCTGAGTGTAGGCTCCAGGAAAAATCCTCAGAGATGTGAATGCCAAGGAACTTGTAGCTCTTAACTGTCTCTACTTTCTCTCCATTGATGTGAATGGGAATGTGACCCTCTCTCTGTGACAAGTCGAGCCAATTAAAAGTCTCAAATGAGACAGATGGTGGCGGAGAGCATGTCCTCCCCCTTTACTTAATTCATGATTGCCAATTAAAAAAATAAAGATAAAAATCTGCCAGAAAGGATGGCTGACTTTACCCTTTTTCAGATTAGATGATGGATTGTTTTGTTCTTTTTCCTGCTTCATTTCGAGGCAGTATGGTGTGATGAACAACTAAAACGGTTTGGGACGTTTAGTGGCAGCTTTCCTGCAGCTCAAACAATAGATCATGGCGCTAGCAACACCAAGGTCATGGGTTCGATTCTCAGGGAAAGCAAGACCAGGAAGACCAGGACTAGAGCTGGTTTAACAAGGGCTAATCTTTGAGCGATATTCAATGCATTGTTTAAGGCAGTTAGAAGAAATATACTTATATGTTTGCCAGTGAAATATGACAAGTATTATATCTTCTTATGCTAAAGAATTATAGTGGAGTTTGATGTCTGATGACACAATCAATGATCACTTGAATACTAACATTATTTTCAACCATGTACAGTATATGCATAAAACGGTCCATAATCATGGACTCCATACTGTCCTTACAGTCAACCTTTGTGGTATTGGCTTATAATTAAATTATTGTGTTCGCATTTAAGTTATTTTGAATAAAAGCATGTGCTAATTGTAAATGGACTTACTAAATCTAAGAATTTTAGCTCCTGCGAACCTAACTAGTCTTCTGCCACGCTACAATCCATCACGCTCCCTAAGGTCGCAAAACTCTGGACTTTTGGTAGTACCTAGGATAGCAAAGTCCAGATGAGATGATGCCAACCCCTCAGAGGACCTCAGATGATGCCAACCATGAAACAACATACAGAACTACCACATTTTGCTATAAGTTTGATTGCATCATATAATAATTGCTGTTAATAGTGTTCATCGTCTGTTTGATTACGTCTTTAATTGATTTTTCCGTACATTTCTGCCATATGTACATTAACTGATTATAGATTCAGATATAGATCAGTCACCACTGATAAGCTACTACTAAATATTGTAGAAACCTCTTTTGCTGTAAAGTTGCTTTGCAACGATTTGTATTGTGAAAAGCGGCATACAAATAAACTTGAATTGAATTGAATTGAATTTAAATGTAGCTATCGCTAACACAGTGATACGCTAAACAATACTCGGCAGTGAGAGAGAAGAAGTCCATGGCTTATAAAGCGTGCCTCATTGGGTGTACGGAAGTCCCTGGACAGGATTCGTGACAATTATATATTAGAATTATATCTAGTACAATATTATAAATACCTTTAATTGCAATTTCTAACCTCAACTAATCAAAACTCGTTTGTTAATATCAAAAAATATATAGGTTAATGGAAGTATGAGTAGTTAAAATAGCATTCTCGATATCTTTAATGCCAACTACAGTAAGTCAAAATTGCATGATATCCGGAATTGGACAGGGAAATTAAATGATAAAATGACTTGCCATAGGTATGTCTGTGCACTATAACAACATTCAAAACAAGAGTATTTTTGTTCCTTAATTGCTCTTCATGTTTCAAGGCCTCGGTTTTTAGGGAGATTTAATTTTCTGAATGAGCAATTGCCAAAAGAGATATGTTAATGCCAAGACTTGGCAAGACCTAAGGGAAAGTCAGTGGACAGAAAAATGCTGCTAGGGATTAACCACATAAATAAATTCTGACACATCAGTTCTCGATTCTGTATGTGTGTGTAAATCATCTCAGCTGTAGCGTTTATGTCCTGCAAGAAAGAGAAAAAAAGTGACACGGCAAACAGAGACTGAAGTTTGAAATCATTTTTATTCAGCACAGGTGTGTAAGGGATATTCATTCATTCATGTTCTTTTTTATTATTTTCTTTTATTATATCTCATATAACATTCTATATTTTAGCTCAGTAAGGACAGATAATCTCTTGCCATAGTAACAAAGTAATTTTATATTAGTAGTTCATTAGTAGTTGTAGAGTAAATCTAAAGATATATTTAGCATAATTTAGTGAGATCCACATTTATAGTGTCAGCAGTGTCAACAAGCAGACAACAATGACAATAACCCAGACACAGCTACGGATGTGAAGGGTTTATGAATCTTTCTCCAAATGTTTCTACTAACCCATATCATATTCTACACCATCTTTAATTTCACAACACTTTATTCTCATATGAAAAATAAAAGTATCTGTATGGGTTACATTATGGAAACGGTCCCACTTTAAGTGGCATTAACTACTATGTACTTAAATAAAAAAATAAGTACAATGTACTTATTGTGTTCATAGTGTATTGCAAAACACTTTTGCTGCTATTGAGGTGGGAAACGGATAAGGTTAGGTACAGGTTTGGTGGTATGGGTAGGTTTAAGGGTGGGTTAAGGTGTAAGGGATGGGTCAACAGTATAATTATAAATATAATTACAGATGTAATTACATGCAGGTATTTTTAAAATATAAGTACAATTTAAAAACATGTATGTACACAATAAGTGAATTGTACCGAATGATTAATTTAAATGTAAGTACATAGTAGTTAAGGCCAGTTAATATAAAGTGGACCATGGAAACTGGTAAAAATCTAAAATTTATCTTAAAGGTGACCAATTATGCCACTTTCTACAATATGTAATATAAGTCTCAGGTGTCCCCAGAATGTGTTTGTGAAGTTTCAGCTCAAAATACCGCACAGATCACGTATTATATCATTTTGAAAATGCCTATTTTGAGAGGAAGCAGAAACACACTGTTTTCGTGCATGTATCTTTAAATGTAAATGAGCTGCTGCTCCCCGCCCCCCTTTCCACAATAGGGCTGTGCCTTTACAGCTTGTACTTTACATACTCGTACTCGCGCTGAAATCATGCATTTTAAAGCCATATTAGTTTAAACTTCGCCATCCAGCTAGGTTCTTCTACAATTACCCCATCGACTTCGGTCAGAAATCTTGGTGTAACCTTTGATGACCAGCTGACCTTCAAAGGCCACTAAGTTCATCTTAAAAAAAAAAATAAATAAAAAAAAATGTTTCTTTCTCTTTATTTATTCCTTCCCTTTCTAGCTTGTACTTATTTGAACAATGCCTAAAACTTGGTATGACGAGCAGTTCCTGTGTGTTTGCCTCTTTAAGAAGAATCGCTTTATGTATTCCCCAATTGTAAGTCGCTTTGGATAAAAGTGTCTGCAAAATGACTAAATGTAAATGTAAATGTAAACTTCTGATATAGGGTTTTATAGGGTCATAATGGTGGTGCCTTAGGTGAAAAGGTGCAGATTAAGGAGCAGTAATATTATAATAAGATCCCTTTGCCATGTCACAGAGGGAGCGAAAACTGACGCACTCTCAGACGCTTGCAGAAAAAGGCTTACTAAAAAAAAGTTACTGGGTTAATCTTTTTCACGTTTCCTGTGTTGGTAGATGCACCAGGGACCCGATTATAGCACTTAAAACTGGAAAAATGTCAGATCTTCATGATATGTCACCTTTAACATCTAAAACGGTCACATTCCTCCAAACTAACCAAAATATGTGACTGTTATGTAACTGTGACATAATCTGATGACCAAACTTTTGTTGTGGCAACCGGAAAAGTGAAAAGTGAAATTCAGTTTCTGTGTTGCCACAATGTTACTTTATTCATCCTTTTTACGGGGGTGGTGAGAGAAAAACACCGACATTCTGGATTCAGACGGCATTAAAATCACCAACTACCCCCTGTAAATGGTGAAAATGACTTACGTCCCCCTGAGAAACAATTATCGTCCGAATAGGGCTTATGTCAACATGATAAGCATATGCACGCATGCCACCCACATGCTGCAGCCCATTCATGTCTAATGATGACAAATACATAACAAACTGTAAACTGAACCAAATTACACAAATCACGACCACATCCCCACCCCCACTTAATCTCAACACATTTAATGTTATTTGTTATGTGTAATGGCTATGCTCTTCTCAATTTTGTCATTTCATCTAAATATCAACATTTGCAAGTAACTTTAACAAACTTTTGGATTCGTGTGAAACACATTAATCTTTATGACCACTGACACTCCCTCACATACAGTCTCTCTAACATAAAGGCTCAAAAAAAAAAAATCAGTGCGTGTATTGTTATGTGAATTAGTGTGCATGATGATTTTCACATACTTTTGTAGCTCTAGACTACAAAATCCAGCACTCAAGTCTTGCAAACAAATGTTTAGTGTGTGTTTTATGTTCTATTTCAGTGAGTTGATTTTCTCAGAAATACAAATGTGTACATACTGTACATGCTGCTCACATATTAATGTAGCAGAGTTTATGCTGAATACAGTGTAATCAGACTTTAGCCATTCAAATGTTAAAACAAACTGAAATAAGCACATGTACCCAGATACATGTACCCAGAATGTGCATAAGGGCTTTTGTGCTGCTCTGCACTGGAGCTTTTCGTACTGCTATTTTCAAACAAAGATAATTAATTTTTACCCTATATTTTTGTTGTATCAAATCTATAATGTCTGCTGTCCTACTAAACAATTGCAGAATACAATACAAAGAAAAAATTTGAATAGTATGCATGAAGTAGTAATAACTATCACAATTGTATTGTTCATAAGATTCTAAGAATGTTTGTGTAATTGTAATTTTTAAAGTGAAGAATTTACCAGAAGTAGCAGTAAGGGATCTACACTCGCATTCACTTGTTTCAGATGTTACAAAATTATTGCTGTTTTGGGGTGTGTTAGATATCATCACTCCTCATTAGCCACACCCAAAATATATTCTTAATTTTCTAAACAATTTCATTAATCTAAATTATTTTAATAATGTATCGTCAAGAGGGTTTGCAGATTACACACAGCAATTCTGTATGAACTAGGTGGAAAAGAGAGAGAACATTTAAAATGTTCAAAACATTTTATACAGAATGGAACAGTATATCACCAACAGGTTCAGGAGACCTCAAGGAATCAGAGGCAAAACATCATTATCATTATACACAGTTTCAGAATTATTAACGAAAATTTTAATTTGATTACTATTATACCTGTACCCAAAGATGGACATGTGTATGTAAACCTGAATGTTGGTGCTATACAGGGCCATCATACGAAGTTTAGGGGCTCTGCAATATACATTATCTGATTCCCAAAAAGTTTTAGAAGTAGTAGTAGTAGTAGCAGAAGAAGAAGAATAGGGTTCAAGAACCTACTTTGTTTTGACCCCTAAAAACTTCAGTTCAGTCACTCCAGTATTGGTAGGTATGTTAAAAAAAAAAAAAAAAACGTTAGAATCATTTTGTTATTCTCAGGTCAGAATGAGGTCTCGTCAGCTGCTGCTCCCAGCCAGGGTGACAGTGGCAGGAGATGCGGCCCCGCATCATGAGTTTGACTCATGCAAGGGTCAAATATGGCAGACTCCAGTGAGCTGAGTGAGCCCGTTACAGACCCTGTCCCTTCAAAGGCATATGTGTGCAGACAGTCAAAGGGTGGAAGGTATGTGTCTTCATCTGCCTCAGCCAGCCGGTCCATAATAAACTGTTGAAAGACTGTGTCTTCTGGTCCAATGAGGTGAGACTGACGCAGAGACATGCGGATACTGGTGGTGACCTCCTCCCGACAGAGCTTGTGCTCTCGCCGACGTGGGTGCCGGAGAGGAACTGTTTGGGTGGACTCTGTCTCTGGGATGGCAAAACTCAAGATTTTCTCTGAGAACTCCACTGTTTCCAACTCTTGTGTTGCCATTTTCTCCTGCCGTAATGTCTTGTACTTTCTCACAGCTAGCATTAGTGTGGACAGCACTGCAGGGCAAGCCAGAGAGAGAACAGGTTTTACTATGCTTTTAAAACACTCCCTATTTCTTTATATTACATACACTATCTATTTGAGATTTAAGGTAAACCATTTGTGACAACTGAAAAACAAAACAAAATGCTACATTGTCACAGTGCATGTCTGCAGAAACATGTGTGAATAATTTTAAGAATAGATTTCCAGAAAGATTAAATATGTTCACACAAGAGCATCTCAAAAGTAATGCATCAAACACTTACCCATTCATTGCAGCTTTTGACCATCATTAAGAAGTTTATTTTCAGAAAAGTTTGATTATTATCTGATTATTATTAAATTTTGAAACATCCGATGTGATATTTTCCTTATAAGTACGACATTATTTGGCGAATCTCCGCTCTCTACCCAACAAAACGGACGAACTTCTTCTGCTCTCCCGGACAAATAAGAATTTTTCACACTCTGCTGCTCTGTGTTTCACGGAAACCTGGCTGAATGACGCCATTCCGGACAGCGCGTTGAGTCTCCCGGGCTTTCAGCTGTTCAGAGCGGACCGCGACGCAGAATCAACGGGGAAATCACGCGGCGGCGGGACATGCTTTTACATCAACGAAAGGTGGTGTACAGATGTTACAGCGTTAAAGAAGATATGCTGTTCCGATCTAGAAGCGTTTTTCATTAACTGTAAGCCGTTCTATTCGCCGCGGGAGTTTCACTCGTTCATTCTCGTCAGTGTCTACATTCCTCCGCAAGCACACGTGAGCTCAGCTTTACAGGAACTCGCTGATCTGATCACAGAGACAGAACAACAACACCCGGACTCTGTTTTAATCATTCTCGGGGACTTTAATAAAGCAAATCTTTCCCGTGAACTGCCAAAATACAGACAGCATGTTACATGTCCCACCAGAGACAGTAATATACTGGACCATTGTTACTCCACAATAAAGGATGCATATCGCTCGGTCCCCAGAGCAGCTGTAGGACTCTCTGACCACTGCCTGGTTCATCTTATACCGACTTACAGGCATAAACTTAAATCTGCTAAACCTGTAGTAAAGTCTGTAAAGAGATGGAGCAACGAAACAGAGCAGGCATTGCAAGCCTGTTTCGACTGCACTGATTGGAGTGTTTTTGAAGCAGCCACCAACGATCTGGACGAGCTCACGGAATCTGTAACATCATATATCAGTTTCTGTGAAGACATGTGCATCCCTACCAGGACTCATTTAACATTCAATAATGATAAGCCATGGTTTACAGCAAAACTTCGTCATCTTCGTCAGGCCAAAGAGGACGCCTACAAAAGGGGGGACAGAGTCTTGTACAATCAGGCCAGAAACACACTGAATAAGGAGATTAGAGTGGCCAAGGAGACTACGCTAAAAAGCTAGAACACCAGATACAATTTATTATTTTTTTGTGGTTTATATTTATGCATGTGTATTTTATTCACATCTCATTTTTATTATCTGTGTTATTGTTGTCTCCGTGTACTGGAAGCTTGTGACACTATAACAAATTCCTTGTATGTGCAAACATACTTGGCAATAAAGCTCTTTCAGATTCTGATTCTGATTCTGATTTGTCTTTTTGGTCAATTGTGACTGGTTTACAAACGAATGAACAGTACATCTCACAACATAAGCTTTGCAAACAAACTTTTTCTAGGTCAATGCTTTATTTTAGACCCAACAATAATGCTGCAACACACTGTAATGGCTGGAAAAATCAGACACATCATTATTTGATATATCTAACAAATAATCCAACAACCCACACCCAACAAGCCAACCATGAGGGTCTATGGGACCCTCCCCCGAATGCAAATAACCGAAATGGACAGAATAGACATCTGGTTACCACAGTAACTGTTGCAAAAGGAATTGAATGTGTATAGCCGCTAGATGGAGGTATGTGAATGTATTTACTGTAAATGTGAGAGACCATAGCTGAAGAAAAGAGAGTAAAAGACAAATGCACTGCAATGCCCTTATGTCTGTCTCTTTGTTTTAATGGAATCTGCTACAACTGAGCAATGATTTCTACAGTAACTAGATAAACTTTACGACCCAATGGAATGTAGAGAGAGACTCCTTCTCACTTAATTCACTTTGAAACAGACACATACTGCCCATAGAAAAGGACTTCTTTCATTAATTCATATACAAACCTTTCTATGAATGAACATGCATATCCCCAAGCCATTGTGTATATTATTGCTGTTTTTGTATATTGTCTTTTGTATTGTATACTGTTTTATGCATGCTTTATGATAGAACTACTAATTAATGTAGCTTCACCTATACCATTTTTTGGTATGTACGAATTTGTATTTTGATTATCTAAATGATAGTGTGTATTATAGGTTGATACCTATGCAAAATATTAGTATTATAAGTATTTATAATAGTCTTTGCATCAACACCCAATCCAGTTACATATGCAAAATACCATGTTCAAAGACAAAGGATCGTAAACTTTCCCTCCGAAAGTTTAAGTTACCATTGGCTCACAGACCTCCTGGAGGTGTGACCTCCACAGAAGTTAATGGGCACTGTTGGAGTGACCTTGCGCTCGTATCTCTTCTTCTGCTCTTACTGCTCTTATACATCCAGTCTGACCGTGATGCCATGGGACCTCCCCTGCACCAGCAGGTCTCCAAACTTTCTACCTGAAAGAACTCTCCCAACCACAACTGAGTCAGCCTTTTTCCTATGTATATATGAGTGAGTGAGTGTATATGTTTGTTTAGACTAGTTATGTGTTAGTGTTTAGTTAAAACTTTTGTGCACAAATTTCATGAGTTTGGTTTTTGTGGTTAGTGCTTGTAGACAAAGTAAATTTAATGAGCCGATCTTGCTACATGCTCTAATGCATTAGTACTATCAGAAAGATGTTTTCTGTGGCCACGAAAATATAATTTCTTAGAGATGATATAAAATTACGAACAGATTAGTTCATTGTAATATAAATTCTGCTTCAGTTACTTCTGGTAGCTGATATAAATAATTATTAATAATACTTTTGTTAATACTAAATCTTCATCTTTGATCAATGATTGTTTTAGTATGCAAGAATTCATGAGCAGTCAGGCATTGTTTGTCACAAAACTGTGATCAGGGCTCCTGCACAAAGCTATCATGCTTCACATTACAAACCCATTAGGGGTTATACAAATTTTATTATGCCCAGGTAAAAAAATAAAGTATACTTGAATGCACTAAAAATACTTAAATACAAGCAAGTACATTTGTAGTACATTCTTTTTTTGTGCTAAATAAAATTGTAAAAGTTATACACTATAAATACACTAATTAAATGTATATTTCTACTTCAGTAGTACTTCAGTGCACTTGAAAAAGTATACGAAATTTTAAAATACTTAAAAAAGATTTGTAGTGCATTGAAATAGTGTACTACCGCAAAAAAAAAAAAATAATAATAATTAATAAATAAAGAGTTTTATTAGTGTATTTCTTAAAACTGTGCTTTGAATGCTTTAAAAAATAAGTTCAATCTTAGTAGACTTTTATATAGATCTAAACTTAAATTTAATTGATATTGTAAAAATATATTACTAATGTACTAGTTATAAGCACATTTTCCCAATTGTGGTACTTTACACTTAATATAAATGCACTAAGTGTAGTCAGATAAAGTAAACCAAATAAACATGTAGTTAAGTATATCATATAAAGGGTAATATTAACATAGTTACAATACATTTGAAATGAATTATTTAATGTATAAAAGTATGTGGACAATACATTATGAATACATTTTTTATATATTTATATATTATTTGTATATTTAAAATAATACACACATTGTGGCTATTTATTTATTTATTATTATTTTATTTTAATTGTTTTAATTATTTAATTTTATTTATTTATTTAAAAAAATATTTTGTATTATGTTATAATTTGTATTTACATATATATATATATATAATGCAAATGAAATAAAGTATTATTTGGAAAATATTTAAGTTAACAGCATATCTTTTTTTTTTTTTACAGCATATCTTCATTGTCAGTCGGACTAAATTTCTAACCGGCATGCACTGTTTCAAGTCAGCCGCCGATCGGTCTGTGCAGTGCTGCATAAAGTCGAACACACCTAATGTTAGCTTGGCACTGAAAATGGTCAACATGTGACCGAAACGTTTGCCTTGTTTCACTCAGTAAATTGCTTATATTGTTTTAATCTCGCTTGTGACTCTTTTATGTTTGTGTGCAGACTTTTTTCAAGCTCTTCACCTTTGGGGAACTTTTTTTGGTCTACGCACCTCAGTTGGATTATTTTGAAGGCGCGGTGAGTCTCTGGCTGCTTCTTATATATTTTAAATAATCCATCAGTCTATTTTCTATGATGAGTATATTTAAAAGTGTATGAAAGATGGGTTCAAGTGTACTGCAAGTGGTAACTAAATAAAAAATGTTAGTATGTTAAAAACACATTTTAGTTCATATTCGTGGTGTCTCAAAATAGCACAGTTGGGTACACTTAGATGTTCTTAAGATTATCTTAAGAAGTAATAAAGAATAATTTTTAGTATATTCAGAACAAAATTAGTGCATGAAAGTAGACCACTTTAAGTACATTATGGAAGTGTACTAAATGTACTGAAATAAAGTGTATTTTAGTGCACTTTTTTCACCTGGGTGAGCATATAGGGGAAAACTTGACACACACGTGTACACACGCACACACACACACACACTCTCGCCCCTTGTCCAAAGCCTTGTCCAAATACCCACACTTGCGGTCTTGGCCACTTTAGAGCGCGTGCGCGCGACAGGAAGTAAGTGCGCAAGACTGTCCCAGATCTTAAAAAAGCACACTAAACCCACACTATCTCGAATGCCGCTCCGGAGCACTATTCTAGGCTTAGTGCATATGGGCTTACATTTCTGCCACAATGCTGCGCGCGAAAGATCATATTTTGAGCGCACAAAACTACATTTTGCACGCGCGCGATCTGAGTTTTGTGGAGAAAATG